GACATATATAGTCCAGTTCTTGGCCTGAGATTCCAGCCTTGGAGAATGACTCTCTTTCCCATGATCCACCTACAAGAGAGGGGAAGCCAGAGAGCTTAGGAAAGTTTGTCTATGGAGCACTACAAAACCCAGAATCCCCATCCAGCTTGGCTAGTGGTTCCTGAGATGGGTTCAGCCTCTTGGCAGGGCTGCTAGTGAGTATTTGTAATGGACTAATGGGATTTATTATCCCATTTTTCATCCCATGGTAGGAGTCAAGAGATGGGCTAGGGTTACATTTATGCAGTTGCTGTGGATCCTATCTTGGGAGAAAAGTGGGATATAAATCCAGTTAGACATGCTGGATGGGGATTCTGGGAGTTGTAGTGCCAAAAAAAGGGGGGGGGAATATTCCAAGTTCTGACTTCATCTCTCTTGCAGAAGTTTCTCTTCTTGCCACTCCAACTCCCAAAATCCCCAGCCAGTCTCGCTATAGAGGCTCATGAGGTGGACTAGAGTTTTACATTTACTTGCTAGCCAAGGCTTGGCTCTGAGCCACTTGCCATTGTGAGCTGGGGATTCTGGGAACTGTAGTACCAAAAAGAGGAAAAAAACTTTTCTAAACTCTGGCTTCCCCTCTCTTGCAAGTGGATTATGGTTAAGACAGTCAATCTACCTCCAGTAAGGCCAAATACTAGCCCTTGGGCAATGGGCAACAGAAAATTCAGCTGCTCAACATTTCTTCTCCTTTAAAAAAGATATATATATATATATATATATATATATATATATATATATATACACACACACACACACACACATATAATTTCTTTTTTAAAGGAAAAGAAATGTTGAGCAGCTGAATTTTATATATATATATATATATATATATATATTCTTCCTCCTTTGAAGACTGGAGGGGAGGTTGTTTTTCCTTTTTCTTGCCTAGAGATTTTAACAAGGATGAGTAATTTCATAGGTTTATGAGACATTGCAATCTTGGCTGGCTGGGGGATTCTGGGAGATGCAGTCCCCCCTTGAACAAAAAACAACAACACAAAACAACCCTCTAAACAACCCTACATGTCTCTGGTCTGAATGACTCTGGTTTGAATCCCAAAGCTGGACTGGTGGGCCAAAGCACCCAACTGGTGCTCCCAGTTTGCAAACAAGGGCACTGTTTGCAAACAGGACCCTGCACAAAAAGACTCACAAAAGAAGTCTGCTTTTGCAATGAGTGTGTGTGTGTGTGTGTGTGTGTGTGTTTACACACTGCCATCTGGGATCCTTTTTGTCTATGGGTCCCCCGCCCTGTTATGTTCAATCCTTTCTCCTCCCATCTCTCTCTATATATTTGGTTGTTGTTGTTCCTGCTCTTAAGTAATTCTCAAACTCAAACAGATCCCCAGGGCTTGTTTACATCCCTGCAAAGAAAATCAGAGGCAGACCGGTTCAATGGAGCTTTTGATTATAACTCAATCTACAAAGGAGCTGACATTTTCTTCTCCCGCTCCTGCTCCTTTCACGCTCTCCTGGCATCAGATCACAGAAGTGGCATAGCTGCACAGCAGGAGGGTTGCCAACTGACCTGAGTCCCGGCTTGCTCCTGCACCTTGTGACAGTAGGTGAAGGCTTTTTAGGGCTTGGAGAAGCCATGCCATCTCGCTCGCTCGCCTCTTCCACCATCAAAACTGGTTCGTCGCTCTTTCACTTAGGCGCAGGAGCAGTGGGCCGTTGGAAAGTTGGCAACTTTGCACCGAAGCACCAAGTGGGACGTGTAGAGTTGCCAACTTGTGTGCCTTCAAGTTGTTTCTGACTTATGGCAACTCTAAGGCAACCCTATCATGAGGTTTTCTTGGCAGGATGCGCTCAGAGGAGCCTTGCCATTGCCTTCCCCTGAGGCTGAGAGAGTGTGACTTGCCCAAGGTCAACCAGTGGGTTTTTGTTTTTTTGCTTGAGCAGGGATTCGAGCTCCAGAGTTGCAGTCCAATACTCAAACCAGCTATCCTAACAAATGCATAGAACCTCCATATTCAGTGACAGTCTACCAGACACTGAGAAAGCAAAATGGAGGCAGAGGCTCTCGTTTTTTGGTGACTTTACTGGGAGACTGGTCTTTGAAAAGCCATGTTGGGCCAGGCTGACCAGACGTCCTAACTGCAAAGGAGGACAAGGCACTTCCAAGTGGAGGACAGTTGAGAAATCTTGGGACTATATGGTGTAGCTACATCCCACAGATGCTTGCCCAAGGTCACCTAATGGGTTTCCATGACCAAGCCAGGATTCGAACCTTGGCCTCCAGAGTCGTGGTCCAACCCTCGTACCACTACAGCACACTGGCTGTAAGATTGGACTATACCCCCCATAATCCACCAGCCAGGGACTTTGCCTCGCACAATGATTGCTTTACATAGAAACCTGCTTCCTGGCAGGTGAGTTGAATTGCTAATTTAAGAGAGTCATAGTCCAGCCAATTTGGAAGGGAATCTGCCTGGGGAAGATTGGTTGAGATACATATGGTAGTTAAGGGACGGAGAAGGAGCAGGCCAGGAGTAAGTTTCTCTCGCTCTCTAGTTTCGTGGCAACCCCTTTTATTTGCCGCCAAAGGGACAGCGTTGCCCTTCCATGGCACACCTTGAATCCACAGGATGCTTTGCAAAACCTCAGATGCTCAGGAGGGCTTTTAATGCAATGATGGAGAAGATTTTCTTTGGCTAATAAAAAGCAAAGTGGATGCCAAGGAACAGCATGAATTCGAAAGGTGTGACATGTGTATGCGGGGTAGATCTTTAGGACTTTTTGCTGCCACCCTATAACCTCTGTGATTCCCAAACTTTGGCCCTCCAAATGTTTTGAACTTCAGCTCCCAGAAGCCCTGGCCAGCTTGGTCAACAGCCAAGAATTCTGGGAGCTGAAGTTCAAAACATCTGGAGGACCAAAAGTTTGGGAATCACTGCAGGCCTGTCTTTGTTTTGTCCCTTTGAATGATTTCTGACTTACAATCTACCCAATTAAAATATTCCTCATTCCAGTTGAATAGAATGAAATCCAGCCACATGTGATTTGCTGGAGTTTGGGCTTTTTGCACCCCCCAAAGAAACCTCCTTCAAATCCTCAGAAAAAAGACTTCTCCATTTTTACTAGAATATCCATAGAAATCTGCAGTAATGCACATTGTTGCACATGTATCTGTCATCTGCTTTGCATACATTCAGACAGCTGCACATTTTTGATAGAGGAAGGGTGGATAGATGCACATTTGTGTAGAAAAGTATAGACACTTTGTTGATGCAAATGTGCAAAGATCCGCAACAGTTAGCCTACCATGCTAACATTGTCATTTTATAATGCCCCCCTCTGTGTGATTCTTATATTTTGTGCATTTGGGTTAACATCATCCTTTTATGATTTTGTTTTTCTTGCATGATTCTTAACCTCTTTGCCTGATGAAGAAGCCAGTGGAGCTTCAAAAGCTTGCATCATTTTGGTTATCATTGTCCTTTTATAACTTTGTTTTTCTTGCATGATTCTTAACCCCTTTGCTTGATAAAGAAGCCAATGGAGCTTCAAAAGCTTGCATACATTTTTGTGCATTTTGGTTAACATCATCATTTTATATATTTTTTCCCCTCCTGTGTGACTCTTAGCCTTTTTGCCTGATGAGGAAGCTTTGAAAGCAAGTGACATGCATTTTGTGCATTTTGGTGAATACAAGCATCTCTGTTTTGCAGAATGTGGATGTTATTGTGCACACTTACATGAGTTTGCAAGTGATTTGGGGACTGGGAAAACATCTGGGTATTCCTGGTTGCCAGGGAGCACCCCCAATTTCTGTTCCCCCCATTTTTTTCCCCAGTGAGAGAAAGCATGATGTTGTTTTTGTTCCAATTTTCTTTTTGGAGTCAGGATCAGAGAAATTGTGTTGGATACAGTTTGGGCTCAGCTTGGAAGCAGGGGAAAGGGACTCAAAGGGCCTCCTGGTTTGGAGCTGCAGCTCTGCTTCCCGGCCTTGATCTCCCCAAAGCTCTTTCATCTCGGTTTCTGTGGCTTCTGTCTTTGGGGTGGAGTGGCTGCGTGGCTTCCAGGCGACTGAAGTGGCTTAGAAAAGGGCTCTAATTTAAACACACATGAACCCAAATCGTGTCTTTGCGTGCCAAGGACAATCTCTCCAGCCGGAGAAGGCTGAATGGTGATGCCTCCATCTCTCCAGCAAAGCCTTGCCTTGCTAGCGTCTGTGGCCAAGGCAGAAGGACATTGTGTGCAAATGGTGTCGGCTGGGACTTCCAAAGGCTGGGAGGCCACATCATTTGGAACCAGTGTCCAGTGTCGCACAGAGGGATATATTTGTTTGGTTATCAGAGACGGGAATCTTCTAAGTCCTATTTTTTAGCCCTGGACAGGACTCATTGGCCTCCTCCAGATGCAAACTGTGTGCATCCAGATGACGGACTCACCTCCAGATGCGTGACAGAAAAGGGAGCTACAGAACAAACAGCTCCTGGGTGGCTCAAAGCAAGTGAATCAAGATGTATTGAAGCAACTGTGGAAATTGTGCTAATGGCTCTTGTCTTCATGAGACAATGTTGACTCACATTTGCGCTTGGTTGTTGCGTGCCTTCAGGTCTTCTCCGAGTTATGGGGACCCTAAGATGAAGCTGTTTCTTGGCAAGATTTGTTCAAAAGGGGTTTGCCATTGCCTTCCCCTGAGGCTGAGAAAGTGTGACTTGCACAAAGTCATCCAGTGGGTTTCATAGCCAAGCTGGGAATCAAACCATGGTCTCCAGAGTCATAGTCCAATGCTCGAACCACTGCTCTCTGGCATTTGGGATACATAGTGGGATCAGGTTGATACTTCCGCAACTGTTGTGGCTCCATCTTGGAAAACCTTGAGGTTTGTAGTTTGGTAAGGGACTCAGAATGCTTTGTTAGAGAGCTCTAGTGCACTTTCCTGGACTACAGCGCTAGAAAAATCTAGCAGAGAAGTCTCAAGTCCCTTAGCAAACGACAGTTCTTAGGATCCATGACCATTATTGTGGCATGAAATGGATAGAGCCATGCAATGCAGATGCACCCTCAGTTGACTGATTCCTCTAACCCAAATGTTCTCTGCCTTTGCCTTCCATATGGGTCAAATCACAATGCCCATGTTCTCCAGCTAGTGTGGGGAAGATGAGAGTTGTAGTCCAACACAGTTAGAAAGTACTAAGGAGAAAGTTGGGGAGACTGCTCTAGTCAGTTGTTTTCCCAGTTTAAGAATCTGCTGCCTGGCCAGACCTCATGAGATTCACAGAGGGGATCCCAAAGATCATCTAGCCCAACATCTTGCCGGTGAAGGAATCCACAGCTATAGCATCTCTGCCAGGTGGGCATTTTGCTGGTAAATTGACCAGGACTCGAACAATTGGTTTCTGATGGTTTTGTTTAGTTGTATGTCAAAGAAAACACACTGGATGGAAGTAGAACCTCTCCTTCCACAAGTCTGCATCTGCACAGCAGAAATAATTCAGTTTGACACCACTTTAACTATCATGTCTCCATCCTATGGAATCCTGGGGTTTGTAGTTTGTTGTGGCACCAGAATGCTCTGACAGAGAAGGCTAAATGTCTTACAATACTACAAATCCCACAAATTCATAGCATTTCTCATGCTGTGCATTTCTCATGTGCTCTTGCTTCCAACTCATTTCCAGACCCAATTCGGAATGATGGTTTTAATCTACAAATCTCTACATGTTTTGGGACCTCAGATCCAACAGAATATGTCCTCCTCATTTCTGTATATGTGAGTCTACATCCATCTGTCCTTATGCTTAACTGTCATCTAGAAAACGATTATTTGAGTGATTTTTAAAATCCAATTAGTGATGGAAAAACAAGGCATCCTTGGTGGTGGCTCCTTTGCTCTGGAATGCTTTCCTTCAGAAGCTTGTTGGCCTGCATTTTATTTTATTTTATTGGATTTATATCCCACCTTTCTCCCAAAATGGGATACTCTGTAGAGCCAACTGAAGCTTTTTCTATTCTCGATTATATTTTAAATAATTTGGCATTTTCAGAACTTGGATTCCCTAATTGTAATCCCTTTGGCCTGGTTTCAATTTTTGTAGGTATATTGTTTTGCACCGTGCGGTATTTATTGGAATGCATCAATTTGGGTTTAACACTGTTTGGATTTTATTGATTTTATGATCTTGCGGCCTTAAGATTTTATTAGTACAGTATTATGTTTTAATTAATTGGTGCAATGCTGAGAGAATCTGTTTTATGAGGCATTTAAACAATAAATAAATAACGAAATTGGTAGGCAAAGTTTTTGTCTATGTGGGTAGCTCACCTGTGCTGACAGATTTGGGATGGGGGATATTATCTTAAGAGGCCAAAGATGGGGAAACTCTTTGAAATTGAAATTCCTGGCTGGGTTGGGTCAAAGGGAAAAGGATAAGATCAGAATTGTGTGTGTGGCTGCCATCTGCGCTGCAGAAACAATCCAGGTTGACACCACTTTACCTGCTATGGAATCCTGGGAATTGTAGTGTGTTATGGCACCAGAGCTCTCTGACAGAGGAGGCTACATGTCTCACCAAACTACAATTCCCCAAATTCCATAGCATTGAGCCGTGGCAGTTAAAGCGGTGTCAAACTGGATTATTTTTGCAGTGTGTGTGTAACCTAAGAAGTGGCGTGATAGCTACCTTTCAATATCTGAAAGGATGTTAGGTACAAGATGGAGCGTGCTCCAGAACCTAGAATGCAAACCAGTGAACTCAAATTCCAAGAAAAGAAAATTCACCTAAATATTAGGGAGACCTTCTTTACTGTAAGAGCTATTTGACAATGGACTACCCTGTTTTTGAGGGTGGTGGAGTCTCCTCCTTTGGAGGTCTTTAATCAGAGGTTGGATAGGCATCTTTCAAGAGTACTTTAGCTGTGTATTCCTGCATGGCAGGGGTTGGAGTAGATGACCTTTTGGGTCCCTTCCAACTCCAAGATTCTATTAATCTTGTGGCACCTTCTAAACAGATTTATTTTAGCATGAGCTTTCTTGGTAAAAGCTGAGTGTTTTCTTTTGGATTAGCTTTAGTTGGTGCATAGATGCTGGAGGAAAAAGAGGATTTTCCTTGATTTGAGAGCCTTCTTCTTCCATCACCGCAATCCTTGTCAAGCTAAGTGGAAGAACGGTCACGAAATCCTCCTCTATGGAAGCTGAACAGAGTCTCTCCTGCGTAAGATGCAGGTTCTTCTAGTCCCTTCGCTTAGGCAACTTCACTTAGGCAATGGGAAGTGTTTGCAGATGTAAGGCTGCTATCATAACTGTAGCAGCTGAATATATTTGCATTGGGAAGCAGGCTGGGTTCGTGTATAATTGAGACGTACCTAAACGTATTTGCATTTGCAAGTGGCCCCCGCCATGTCGATAGCAAGGAATGGGCTCCCTCCTCCGGAGCTCGGCGGAGAGGTCGGCATTAATTCAAGTGCTTCGACAACCTCTTGCCAGTATAAGCAGCCCCAGAAGAAGGAGGTATCGCCCGACGTATGTGCTTTGCACATAGATGGGAGCACAGCAGCCTTGATTTCTCACGGCTTGGTAATTCCACACTTAGCAACACATGTAGGAACACAGACTCCCTTGTAGTAGAGGCAACCACAGTGACAGGAAAGCTGTGTCTCTCTGTGTTGCTTGACTTGCAGTGGCGCATTTGCACACTCATCGTGATGCTGGAAATGGTGTGAGGTGGTCCTTTGTGGTTGGGGTTCTTGCTGCGTACCTTCAAGTCATTTTCGACTTACGGTGACCCTAAGGGGGCCCTATCACGGGATTTTCATGGCCAGATTTGTTCAGAGGAGGTTTGCCATGGCCTTCCCCTGAGGCTGAGAGTGTGTGACTTGCCCAAGGTCCCCCAATGGGTTTCCATGGCCGAGCGGGGAATCAAACCCTGGTCTCCAGAGTTGTAGTCCAATACACAAACCACTATTCCATGTGGTCCTTTGTGTATCTCAGGCTAAAGCCAGATAGAGGTTGAGTCTCCCTTATCCAAAATGCTTGGGACCAGAGGTGTTTGGGATTTTGGGATTTTTTAGATTGTGGAATAGCCTGTCCTTGCATGGATGTCCATAATGGGATATCTTGGTTCTGAATTGGCAAACAGAATGGTTCCCAATTGGCAAGGGGGTCAGGCGAGTCTGCATTTTATCACCCTATGTGTTCAACTTGGATGCAGAAAATATCATATGAAGAGCAGAATATCCTATCAGTCTAAATATCATATTTAGACCCAGAAGGAGGAGGAGTGAAGAAAGGAGGAAGGAACATCAACTATCTAATGTATGCAGATGACACCATAATAGTTCTTCCTGGAGACTTGGAACAATTACTGCGGAAGGAAGACCGCCAACAAAGACCAGGTGCTGGAGGCTATATTTTGGAGGAAGGACGTGGCAGAACCATTTCTGAGCATCCCTGGCCTACGAAAACCCTATGAAATTAATGGGTCACCAAATGTCAAGAGGAGACCTGGTTGGCTTGTTAAGTGGGAATGAAGGAGAATGCTCCCAGACTTTTGGACTCCCTCCCAGTCCTTGCCTTCCTTCTATCAGCAAGTGAAAGCGTTTTTATGCCGTCAGTCTTTTTACAAACTGAGTTGGGTGGTCTTTTTAAAGATGTGCAGTGCTGTTTAAGGTCTGTCTATAATCTTTGGATGAATTTTAATGTCTGAGGTTTTCAGTTGGTAAGTTTAGTTTTTAACAGTAACTCTTATATTTCTACTTTCATTGACATTTGGTTTAGTTTTGAGCCATACCGCTTTACAATATTTTGCTTGCCACCTGTTTTCAGTTAGTAAGTTTATTTTATTTTTAAAAAAGTAACTTATATTTCTACTTTTATTGACGTTTTGTATAGTTTTTAAATATTTTGTTTCCCACCTTGACCCACATTATTGGGCAAAAGGTGGGATATAAATTCTTCTTATGATTCTTATTATTAATGGTAGATACCTACTCAGTATTATTTTGCCCCTGGTGCCTTCATTGCGCTCACTTTTGCAATCAGGCCTTGATATAAATGCTTGGCTTTCACTTTTGGCAACACTCCTGGGAAAGGATGTTCTCCATCTGCTGCTTGCCTGTTCTGTTATCCTTTTGGACACCATAATGCCACCAAAGCATCATTTCTCCTTCCCTTCCTAGCACAGAAACTGGATGAGTTGGAGCCCAAAATCTGACTTATTGGATTTAACCCTTCTCCAGTGAGAGGTGCAGAGACCAATTCTTGGTTTGAAATCAATTCTTGGTTTGAATCCAGTGGCACTTGTTGGGCCTCCAGATTATCCAGCAACTTCTAGAGGAAAAACTGTATTTTATTAAAACCAGTTCTGTGGCATCTGAAAGACTAACAATGCAGCTTCCAAGATCCAGTGCCTGGCTCCTCTTCTCCAGTCTTGAGGACAAGGGGAAGAATCTCAGTGCAAGGGCACTGTCTTGAAATAAATGTATGTATTTTCCCTGTTTGTTGGATTTATTATTTTTTTTTGGCTTGAATTGCATACTTTTTGCAACTGTGGTTGATGCTTAAGGTATCTTATTTAATAACACTGCCCTTATTATGTCTCCAGGGCTTGCCTCCTGTGATACCACAAAGCGCCTACTTCAGTTTTGGCCCTGAAATTGTCTCAACCTTATGAGCAACTGTTTTGCAGCATAAGCTTCCATGAATTAAAATCTATTTCAACCAGTTGCAGGAAATGTTATCCTTTGTTGGCACATAGTTAAGTTTTGTGAAGACAGAGGGAGGAATTGTATTGCATAAAGTGCCAAAAAATAATTTGTGACAGTTCAGGTGAGGCATAAATGTGTGCAAAGCAAGCAGTATGATAATTCATAATAGCAGTAATGGGCAATATAGCGCACACATCCTAGGTTTGCGGTGGGACAGGAAACCACAGTCTTAAATTTATTTCCAAACAAATTGGGTGAAACTTGATTTGTTCTAACCCAGCATTTTCACACTGGAGTTTTTCTTTAATGTTTCTTGCAGGTCAACTAGAGATTATAAGCAAATTTTGGGTGGTGTTTGGTCTCATTGAATGGCTCAGAAGCTAAATTGCTTTCCAAAAAGGACAATTGCCAAAGAGAAAGGATTTTAGTAGGATTGATCTGAAAGACAAGCTGTTGAGTGTGCACAACTTCTCCCGCCTCCACCCTTTTATTTTAGTTCTCACATTTGCTTTTTATAACCAAAACCTAATTTTCAGACAGCTGTGAACACTAGGCAATGAGCTATTTTTAAATTTGCATAAATTAACAAGAACCGAAGACTACCAAATCCAAACAGAATTGCAAGAGTGAGAGGGAGGTTCACTAGGAAAGATATAGAGCCATGAATTCTGCAACCTTGGAGTTCGACTTGAGGTTGCACCATTGGACTTGGAAGCATCCCTGTTTTGTCCCAGATTTGGTGGAAGGGCAGTCTGCACATGCTTAGGGTACTTATTGTATTACTTGACCGTTCCCCTTTGTCCAGTACTGGTTTCACATTCTTCCAAAGGGTTAAGTTGCATCCTGGCTGGTTGATCATCCTTGAGTTGGATTCAAACCTCCTCCCTTCCTTAAGTGCTTTTCCTTCCATGGCGAAGGGGAAGATCTTAGGACTTTCCTCTCCTTTTTGCAGCTCTGCTTAGCAGGATAGGTTTCCTGGCGGTTCCCACAGGCCTGGCTACTTTTCCTCTTTCCGGAAATCCATTTATATTCATCTTTTTGCCATGAACTCAGCCTCCTCCAGGGCCTTTGGGAGAGGAGCGTGCTTCCTGTTTCCCTTAATGGAAAACAATTGCAGCTGCAACTTCCACCACCCTGGTGCTTGTTGAATTCTAAAAATCCTCTCCTCTCTGTTTTTTCCAAACGTCTCCCAACCCACCCTGGCCTTGTCTCTGAGATGTGCTCCAGTGAATGCTGATGGGGTGTTATAGAGCTGGTTTGCACATTGTTCACTCTCCAGGCGATTGCGCTCGGCTGGCAGCTGAAGATCTTGCCGTGTTCGAATCGGTGAGCCCTCCCTTTTTGCACATTAAGTCCTTCGCTCAGCATTGCAGCCTTCGGATGATGACAAGATGCAGGTGTGGGCCAACACCTTCGATCACAGGTGGAAAGTGGACTCTCAGGACCAATCTTCTGACAAAATGGCGGAGCCCCCTCCTCACATGTCAACCCGCTTGCAAATTAAGTAACATAACCCAACCAGTTCTTGTTAACCACCCTTAAGTTGATCCTGACTCATGATGACCCTTGGATGAGACATCTCCAAGACTCCCTATCATCCACTGCTCTCCTTGGATCCTGCAAATTCATACCTCCTTAATAGAGTCCATCCATCTAGCATACAATCATCCACTCTTTCTACATCCCTCAATCTTTCCTAGCATTATTGTCTTTTTCAGTGAGTCATTCCTTCTCGACATGACCGAAGTGTGACAACCTCAACTTTATCATCTTAGCTTGCAGGGAGATTTCAGGCTTGATCTGTTCTAGGATCCCTTTGTTTGTCTTTTTGGCTGTCCAAAAACAGCAAGGGCCCTCCAACTATGGTAGTGGGTCACTCTTCTCCAGCAACACATTCTCTCAAATGCATTGATTTTCTTCCTATCTTGTAACTGTCCAGCTCTCACATCCATCCATGGAAATAGGGAATACAATGGCTTGTATGATTCTAACTTTTGTGCTCATTTGTATATCCTTACATTTTAGGATCTTTTCTAATTCTTTCATATCTTCCCTCCCCATTCCTAGTCATCTTATTTCTTGACTGGAGTCCCCAATTTGATCAATCTTTGACCCAAGGTATGGGTTGAGCTCAACCTCATTGTCTAGGCTGAATCTGTATAGATTCTACCTCAAACAGAAGGAAATCAGAAAGAAAGCTGTTACTACAGTTTGACTAAACCAATGTGGTGCAGTGGTTTGAGCATTGGCCTCTTGATTCTGGAGACCAGAATTCGAATCCCTGCTTGGCCATATAAACCCACTGGGTGAGCTTGGGCAAGTCATACTCTCTCAACCTTAGAGAATGGCAATGACAAATCTCCATGGTTGAGCAGGCATTCGAACCCTGGTCTCCAGAGTTCAACGCTCAAGCCACCACTCCATGACAATGGATATATTAGCTGTTTAGAATCCATTGTTGTTGTTTTTACCCAGTGCATGGTTTTCTGCTGTGTGGGTGGGATAATTTCCCTCCGTTTTTAAAAGGTTCTGTTGTGCAGCCTATTTGAGGACGATGACGCAGGAGGGATGTGGTGCTTACTGACCCACTACCATAGTTGGAGGGCCCTTGCTGTTTCTGGAAACTTCAGAAATAGAAACTGGAAACTTTCTGATAACAGGTCTGTGGCAGAATTTGGCACATGAGTTGTTTTTGTAGCTGCCTGCGAACTGGTACATCCACCTGGGATTACTATTTATTCCCTCCTCCCTTGGCTGACTTGGACTGAAGCGTGCAGGATGACCTAGTGGTGTGAGAACTGGAGAGCCAATAATGATAGCTATGCCTTATAAACTGGTAGTTTAGGCAAAATGTTTTGGTGCTTCAAAGATCATTTGTCCCTCCTTATCCACAGATTGTGCAGCCTTGGATTCAATAGTCCATGGCATGAAAATACCGGTATTCCCTCTCTGCAAAAAATTCCAATAAAGCAAACTTTGATTTTTATATAAGGGACACCATTTTACTATGGTGTTGTACATAATGGGACTTGGATTTTGGCATCCATGGGGGATCCTGAAACCAAACCCCAGTGGATACCAAGGGCCCACTGTACTTCCCTCTCGTCTCAATCTGGCCTCTGTTGTTGTGAGGATGTATAACTTTTGAGTCATATGGGTCTCTGACCCTGGACTACTGATGTTCCTTGACTAGCACTAAGGTCTTGTCAGCAACTGTTGCTCTGTGGTTTTCATTTCTGATCGGATTCTTGTATTGTTTAAATTTGAATG